GAGTTCGAAACTGCCTGATTAACACAGTAAGACCCTGTCTCTATTTAATTAAAAAAAAAAAAAAAAAAAGGTAAAAAGAAAGGGAAAGGGAAATTTGGCACAAAGAGAAGACAATGTGCAGATTAAACAGAGAGATTTGAAGATGTGGGCCTTGCACATTAGAGGGATGTGGCCACAAGCCAAGCAATGCTGACAGCCACCAGAAGCTGTAAGAGACAAGAAATGAATTCTCCTTTATAGCCTCCAGAGGAAGCGTAGCTCACTGACACCTTGATTACAACCCAGCGAAATAGGTATCACCCTTCTGGCCTCCAGAACTGTAAGAGAATACGTTTCTGTTATTTTAAACCACAAAGTCTGTGATGTAACATGGACAAATACAGTCTAATTCCACTTACATGAGGTATGTAAAATAGTCAAATGTATAGAGATAGAAAGTAGAGGGTGGTGGTTACCAGGGCTAGTGGGGAGGGAGAAATGGAGAGTTGTTAAACATGCACTGGGGGCCGGGTGCGGTGGCTCACGCCTATAATCCCAGCACTTTGGGAGGCCGAGGCGGGTGGATCACGAGGTCAAGAGATCGAGACCATCCTGGTCAACAAGGTGAAACCTCGTCTCTACTAAAAATACAAAAATTACCTGGGCATGATGGTGCGTGCCTGTAATCCCAGCTACTCAGGAGGCTGAGGCAGGAGAATTGCTTGAACCCAGGAGGCGGAGGTTGCGGTGAGCCGAGATCGCGCCATTGCACTCCAGCCTGGGTAACAAGAGCGAAACTCCGTCTCAAAAAAACAAAAACAAAAACAAAAAAAAAAAACATGCACTGGGGAATATCATCCATATTTTTCAAAATCTGTATGGTAAAGGCCACCAAATGTATTATCTCCAGCTCAAATATTTGATGTGCCTGCTCACAGCTGCTTGGCAATATCTTCATTTGAGCGTCCCATGGTGCCTTAGTCTGTTTTGTGTTGCTGTAACAGAATACCTGAGACTGGGTAATTTATGAAGAGAAGAGGTTTATTTGACTCACAATTCTGCAGGCTGGGAGGTTCAAGAAGCATGGAGCCAGCAGCATCTGCTAAGCTTCTGGTGAGGACCTCATGCTATTTCTACTCATGGTGGAAAGTGGAAGGGGATCAGGCATGTATGTGCAAACAGATCACATGGCAGAAGAGGAAGCAAGAGAAAGCCAAGGAAACCAGACTCTTTTTTAACAACCCATTCTCATAGGAGCTAATAACCCATTCCCCGGAGAGGAAGAACACCCTTGACCTAGAGGGAGGGCATTAATCTATTCCTGACAGATCTGCTCCCAAGACCCAAACACTTCCCACTAGGCCTCACCTCCCAATACCATCATGAAGAGGATAAAAATTCAACATGAGTTTTGGTGCGGACAAACCATATCCAAACCACAGCACATGGCAATTCTGATGAGTTTATTGAGTTTGAGATGCCTGTTTTCTCCTGCAATGGGCAAGTATTAATTTACAGGTTAAGGTGCTGTAAAAAAGAAGCTCCCCCTGAAAATACAATAGTTCAAACAAGATAGAAGTTGATTTCTTTCTCTCATAACAGCCTGGAGGTAGGTTTATGGCCCAGGGTGAAAAGGAAACTCTGTCCTTTGAGATCATTCAGGGATCCAGGTTCCTTCCGTCTTGTTTCTCCATCATACCTGAGTCAGTTGTTCACAAAGTGTCTTCCTTGGACAAACAGCATTAGCAAATTCTCAGTCCCATCCCTAATCTACTAAAGCAGAAGTTAGGAATGGAGTCCAGGAGTGTGTGTTTTTTAACATTTAAAAAATGGTGGTAATATACACATAAAATTTACCATCTTAACCCAAGTATACAGTTCAGTGGCATCCAGTATATTCACATCATTGTGCAACCATCACCACTACCTATCTCCAGAACTTTTTTCATTTTCCAAAAATGAAACGCTACATCTACTGAACAGTAACACCTCATTTCCTCCTCCCCGCAACCCTAGCAACCACATCATTCTACTTTCTGTATCTATGAATCTGACTACTCTATTTACCTCATGTAAATGGAATCATACAGTATTTGTCCTTTGTGACTCACTTATTTAACTTAACATCTTCAAGGTTCATTTGTGTTGTAGGATATGTCAGAATTTTCTTCCTTTTTAAGGCTGAATAATATTCCATTGTATGTACATACCGTATGTATTCATTCATCCATAGACGGACACCTGAGTTGTTTCTACTTTTTGGCCACTGTAAGTAACCCCACTATGAATGTGAGTATACAAACATCTCTTTGATTCTTTAGGGTGGAACTGCTGGACCATATGGAAATTACATTTTAATTTTTTTGAGGAACTGCCATATTGTGCAAATTATCTCTTAACAAGCCCTGAAGGTGATTATGATGCATGCTAACATTTGAGAACCACTGTTTTAAGGTAGTGTCTTCATTTGTAGGATGAAGATTAACTGAGGTCCATGTCCATGTCCCAACTCACAGGAAGGAGGAAAGAGAGAAAGTGGAGGCAAGCAATATTCTTTTTTTTTTTTTTTTTTTTTTGTATTTTTTTTTTAGTAGAGACGAGTTTTCACCATGTTGACCAGGATGGTCTCGATCTCTTGACCTCGTGATCCACCCGCCTCGGCCTCCCAAAGTGCTGGGATTACAGGCGTGAGCCACCGCGTCCAGCAAGCAATATTCTTTAAAGTAAGTAATATAAAGGTTACCCAACTCATTTCTGCAGACATTCCATTGGCAAGAAATCTCATGCAAGAGTAACAAAGCTAAAACGTTATTACTGTGGATGAAGATAAAATGATTTTGGGGGACAACAGAGATCTGCCACGGAACTCTTGTTCCTATGTCCCTAATCTTGACTGTGGTATCACCATCCTCCCAGGACTTTACACCAGAAATCTGGAGGTCACCACTGATACCATCTTCCCCCTTATCCTCGACATCTAATCATTAGTTGCATCTGCCAGGTTCCATATCTTGAGTGTATGGTCTTTTCATTCCCACTATTACTGCCTTAGTTCAGGTTACCACTTTTCTTATACATTACATTACTATGGGCTTTTAAATGGCTTCTCTGACTTTATTTACTCACAAACTATTCTTCACACTGCAGTCAGAAGCGTTCTTTCTAAGCCAAAATTATTCATCTTCTAAAATGAAGATCTAATTAGGTTCACAAGTCCTCTCCTTCTTCACCCATTCCCCATCTCTAAGGTAACGAAGTAGGTCATGGGTAACTCCAAATCACACTTTAAGTTAACCCTAGCCAAAGTACTGAATACAGTGGATTTAAACTTGCTAAGTAAAACTACCTCTAATTTAAATTTAGGAATAAATTTGGCTTCTGTGAAAGCCACCCCAAAGTATAAATATAGTGTAAGTACAGGTATTTGGGCTTACAAAGTATCAATGTTATGACGGAAAAATTGGCAAGTTTTTTGTTTTGCCTCTTAGTTGAGCTCTCTTTCTCTAACAAATGGAAATAAAGAGAAGCACACAAATTCAAGAAAGGGGAATCTAAGAGACTGAGGACATTGTGGCTTTCAAAAAGGAGAGAACATTTTACATGATATGAAGGAAATGTCACCTCATCACCAATAATTCACTCTATTCAACAGATATGTACACCCTTCAGCAAATGCTCCTAGGGACGAGAGGAGAGTCTCATCTAACAGTCTCTATCACACTCTTTCTAAAATAAATACTTAATACTTAAAATAGTCTAAAGAACACACTGGCTACTCATACCTCCCATAGGCAGAGATCTTGTCTTTTTTGTTCTGCTGTATCTCAGGTGATCAGCAATCACTTAGTAGATGCTAATATATTTGTAAATTCCTCTGGAGTCTCTAAAGACCATATCATGAATAATAAATTGAAATACCTATAGGAGTCGGGCAGGTGATATGCATGAGTAAATAGAGTCATTTAGGGCCTATAACAAAGGTAGCGAAAGCTAGCATGGTAGCTGTCGCGTGTAATCCCAGCACTTTGGGAGGCTGAGGCAGGCAGATTATTTGAGGTCAGTTCGAGACCAGCCTGACCAACATGGTGAAACCCTACCTCCTCTAAAAATGCAAAAGAAATCAGCCGGGGCGTGGTGGCGTGTGCCTGTAGTTCCAACTACTCGGGAGGCTGAGGGAGGAGAATAACTTGAACCCGGGAGGCGGAGGTTGCATTGAGCCAAAATCACGACACTGCACTCCAGCCTGCGCGACAGAGCGAGACTCTGTCTCAAAAAAACAAAACAAAACAAAAACAAATGACAGAGTACATAAGCCATCTCCAGGCTAGTTTCTTTAACTAGTCTTCATATAATAATCTCCTCAGGTCCTGTTCTAACCCTACAAAATACAAAACAGTTCCTCGTGTCTTCTTTCAAATATACTAGTCTTCAGCTCATCAGGGTAGCTTGAGTTAGTCCAGGGCGTAATCCCAAAAGCGAAACTGAATGCCAGAATTGATCTCATTTCAACACTCATTCCAGAAGTAAAAATTTCTGCTGCAAGTTCAGCTTCTGACTGTGAATTCTTCAGCGCGACTTTTGCAAAGAGCTCTGTTCCAAGAAACTGGCGCCTTAACACAAGCTATCTACTGCTGCACAAAGCGAGGCTGGCTTGGGTCCAGATTCGGCTGGAGAGTGGAAACGCGACGCTGGCCGGCTGTCACAAAGGCAATTTCTGCCGAGGGCAAGCGTTCCTAAGGAGGGGCTGAGGGAGCGCCAGGCTCGGACGTAGGGTCTACAAAACCCCAGAGCTAAAGCAGCCCCCAGAGGACCCTCCAAGGAGAGGCCGGACCCTAGCGCAGGCTCAGTCACCCTCCCAGCTCGAAGCCGGCGCTGGATCATAGCGGCGCGAGGAGAAACCAGTAGAGGCCGAGAAAAGGCGGAAGTAGCGGCTGACGCTCCCCAGACGCTAGGCGCTGACCAGAGACTGATTGTCACCTTAGGACCCGTGATAGGGGCGGGGCGGCGTTGTACCTCAAAGCGCCTGCGCGGAGAGCCGGCTCTCAGGGATCAGACTAGGAGGTGGCTGAGCGGGACGCTGAGCCCGGAGGCCCACTACGTGCGCAGGCGCACTCGGCGATCCCGGCTTCTCTGCGCACCGGTTCCCTCAAAGGCCTCGGGGCGGGGCCTCTGGGGCCGGGGCGGGGATAAATGCGGAGGGACAGTCCGGCTTTCACTGTCCGCCCGCCGCCGTCCCTGTCCCTGCTATCTCCTCTGATCTACGAAAATCATGTTACCCAACACCGGGTAAGGGGGTGGGAGCGGCGCGGGGAGAGAACCTGTCGGGAGGAGAGCGCGTCTCGGTGGGGCTGCGGTGGATCGCCTGGGCTGGCCGACCCCGTGGTGGGAGTCAAGGAGGCTGCCTGGGCACACTGAGCTGTGGTCCACGCTGGGCTCTGTGCACTGAGAGAATCTGCGGTAATGCGTGAAAAGGAATACAAAGTTTTGTATTATGGGTGCCAGCAGTGTAGAAACCTTTTCCACGGGTAAAGGGCCGAGGTTGAGTCACCCCGCCGCCCCCATTGCCAGCCCTTCCTGGAGTTTGGCAGGAGGACTTGCTTGGCCGAATGCGTGCAAGTTCTAGGTGAAAGGTCGCAGGAGCAGCTCCAGAGTTTAATGAGTTTCCACTTGTTCCGAACGCTCAATTCTCGAGTAATAGTGGAGTGTTTAAAAAGGGATTTCCAAATTAGAAGCAAATTAAACCGATCTGAAAACATGGGTATCTTTTGGGGATTTTTTTTCACCTTAAAAAACTGTGTTAAAATACGTAGCAAATTTGCCATCTTAACCATTTTTTAAGCGTACACTTTAGTAGAGTTAAGTAGATTCATACCATTGTGCGATCTCCAGAACTTTTTTCTTTTTTCTTTTTCTTTTTTTTTTTTTTTTGAGACGGAGTTTCGCTCTTGTTACCCAGGCTGGAGTGCAATGGCGCGATCTCGGCTCACCGCAACCTCCGCCTCCTGGGTTCAGGCAATTCTCCTGCCTCAACCTCCTGAGTAGCTGGGATTACAGGCATGCGCCACCATGCCCAGCTAATTTTTTGTATTTTTAGTAGAGACGGGGTTTCACCATGTTGACCAGGATGGTCTTGATCTCTTGACCTCGTGATCCACCCACCTCGGCCTCCCACTCCAGAACTTTTTTCATCTGCAAACTGAAACTCTACCTGTTAAACAATTCCTCTTACCCAACTCTGCTCATCCACTGGCAACCACCATTCTATTTTCTGGTTTATGTAAGGTGTGGGTGTCTTGAGTTGGGTAATGTGTTGATAGATTTTGTAATTTGCCTGAAACATACATGTGTATAGCCAAAGACTTAAAACAGTTCAAATAGCATAGGGTAAAAAGTGAGCCTCCCTCGCCGGGCGCCGTGGCTCATGCCTGTAATCCCAGCACTTTGGGAGGCCCAGGCGGGCGGATCATGAGGTCAAGAGATTGAGACCATCCTGGCCATGGTGAAACCCCATCTCTACTAAAAATGCAAAAATTAGCCGGGCATGGTGGCACGTGCCTGTGGTCCCAGCTACTTGGGAGGCTGAGGCGGAAGAATCGCTTGAACCCAGGAGGCGGAGGTTGCAGTGAGCGGAGATTGCGCCACTGCACTCCAGCCTGGCGACAGAGCAAGACTCGGTCTCAAAAAAAAAAAAAGTGACTCTCCCATCCATAAATTCTAGTCCCCCATTTACCTTATGTTATGTTTCTATTTTGTGCATGTGTAACACATTTTGTATACATCCAGACACACACACACTCACTCACACACACACCTTCTTAAAATTAATAGCAAACTCTATTCTTGCTACTTTTAGCTGGTATGTGTTAGGACATTCTTTCTTTGTTTTTTTTTGTTTGTTTGTTTTGTTTTGTTTTTTAAAGACAGGGTCTCCCGTGTTGCCCACACTGGCTTCTAGCCTCGAACTCCTAGGCTGAATGATCCTCCCTTCTTAGCCTCTGGAGTACTTGGGATTACAGGCATGCACCACTGTGCCCCAGGGACATATATTTTAGTACATGCAGATCTTCCCCTTCCTTTTTTTTTTTTTTTTTTTTTGAGATGGGGTCTTGCTCTGTCACTGAGGCTGGAGTGGAGTGGTGCGATCTTGGCACACTGCAACCTCCACCTCCTGGGTTCAAGCCATTCTCCTGCCTCAGTCTCCCGAGGAGCTGGGACTATGGTTGCGCGCCACCACGCCCAGCTGGTTTTTGTATTTTTAGTAAAGACGGGGTTTCACCATATTGGCCAGGCTGGTCTCCAATTCCTGACCTTGTGATCCGCCTGCCTCAGGCTCCCAAAGTGCTGGGATGACTGGTGTGAGCCACCGTGCCTGACTCTCTTCCTTTTTAATGGTTGCATAATATTCTGTAACAGCTTGAGTATCTATTGTTCAAAATGTTTGCTTCCAGAAGTGTTTGGGATTTCAGATTTTCAGATTGGATTACTTAACCTGTATATGAATAATACCCTTGTTTATTTAACCTGTTCCCTATTGTTGGATACTAGACTTTCCAGTTTTTTGGATACTCTCTTTGCTTCCATGATTATACTTGTATTTATCTATTTGCACATATGTTGTATATGTAGGATAAACTCCTGGAAGTGAAATTGCTGGATCAAAGAGTAAATGTGGCCTGGCACAGTGGCTCACGCCTATAGTCTCAGCACTTTGGGAGGCAGAGGCAGGCAGATCACTTGAGCTCAAGAGTTCGATACCAGCCTGACCAACATGGTGAAACCCCGTCTTCACTAAAAATATAAAATTACAAAAATTACAAATACGAAAATTAGCTGGACCTGGTGGCGGGCACCTGTAATCCCAGCTACTCAGGAGGCTGAGGCAGGAGAATTGTTTGAACCTGGGAGGTGGAGATGGCAGTGAGCTGAGATTGTGCCACTGCCCTGCCCTCCAGCCTGGGTGAGAGAGTGAGACTCCATCTTAAAAAAAAAAAAAAAAAAAAAAACAGAGAGAGAGAGTAAATGCACTTTATATTTCGATAGATATTGCCACATAACCCTCCAGAAGAGGTACACAACCAAAGGATAAAAGTGATCTCCTGACTTCACCTTCTTGCTGCCTTATGATGAAGACGCCTTGCTTCCCCTTCACCTTCTGCCATGGCTGTGTTTCCTGAGGCCTCCCCGGTCACTCGGACCTACAGGGTCTCGCTGTGTCACCCACACCAGAGTGCAGCAGCATGATCTGAGTTCACTGCAGGCTCAACCTCCTGGGCTCAAGCAATCCTCCCACCTCAGCCTCCCAAGTGGGGGGACCACAGACCAAGTCTCTCTCTTGTTGCCCAGGCCGGAGAGCAATGGCATGATCTCAGCTCACCACAACCTCCACCTCCCAGGTTCAAACGATTTTCTTGCCTCAGTCTCCCGAGTAGGTGGGATTACAGGCATGTGCTACCACATCCAGCGAATTTTTGTACTTTTAGTAGAGTCGGGGTTTCTCCGTGTTGGTCAGGTTAGTCTCAACTTCTTGACCCCAGGTGATCCACCTGCTTGGCCTCTCAAAGTGCTGGGATTACGGGCTGAGCCACCGCCCCCGGCCAGATTTGTTTTTTAATGGATGAGAGTTTCTTAGGTTTCCCAGGCTGGCCTTGAACTGGTAGTCTCACCTCCTTGTGCACCAGGACAACAGGCCTGAGCCACCACGGCTCCCTCTGACACTTTCAGAGGAGGTTTGCTGACTCCTACCCTTATAGGAAACTTAAGATTCTCTAATTTTTTTCTCTTGCCTAACTTTCATTTTTCTATTTTATTAATAGGATACTTTAGATCCAGAGAGGCCTTACTGAATTACATAAATTAATTATCTACCCAGAACTAGAACCCAGGTCCCTTATTTCTCACCTTAGTACTTTAAATTAAGTCATCGTTGTCTTTTTTTTTAAGGCTCATGTTTACAGAAAGAGAGGGTCTCAGTGCTTGCTTTGGCAGCACATATAGTAAAACTGGAACGATACAGAGAAGATTAGCATGGCCCCTGTGCAAGGATGACACACAAAGTCATGAAGCATTCCACATTTAAAAAAAAAAGAAAAAAAAAGCGAGGTTCTCTTCGTGGATTTTTCCCCCTATTTTTTAAGTGATTTTCCACATGGTAAATTAGGTTCATGATCTAGAAAAGTTTTTCTTTTAGCTTCACAGACACAGAATTATATTACAGTGCACCCTGTTTTAAAAGGCTACATTTTTACCCAGGTAACACTCAGTTTGGTAGGCTATCATTTTGAAAACCAATGCCAGTGAATAGAAGACAGTTTTTTTCATTCTATGCCTGCTTTTCTTTTTTTTTTTTTTTTTTTTGAGAAGGGGTTTTACTCTTATTACCCAAGCTGGAGTGCAATGGCCCCGATCTCGGGCCCCCCCAAACCCCCCCTCCTGGGTTCAGGCAATTCTCCTGCCTCAGCCTCCTGAGTAGCTGGGATTACAGGCACGCGCCACCATGCCCAGCTAATTTTTTGTATTTTTAGTAGAGACGGGGTTTCACCGTGTTGACCAGGATGGTCTCGATCTCTTGACCTCGTGATCCACCCGCCTCGGCCTCCCAAAGTGCTGGGATTGCAGGCTTGAGCCACCGCGCCCCGCCGCCTGCTTTTCTCAAGTAACCTAAACTTCCTATTTACTGAAGTTTTCCAGAATGTAATTGACCTTTTTTAAAGGTGGTTACTGGTTTTTTTGCGATAATTTCCAAAGCTTTAATACTGACAGTAAACATTTCAGAAAGTTAGCAGTCATATATTAAAGAAGAAAAATATGTCCACAGTAAGTGTCATTCTAATGTGATGTGTGCATCAATTTACTCTTTATGTTTCCAGGATGTGAGGTCTTATTCTCAACCTTGATTTCCTCTAAAAACCAAATGGGATAAAAACGAAAGACTTCAAGCCTACAGTTTTACTTGTGTATATATGCCAAGCCTTCCATGGGTTGGGACCATGGTGATGGGACAGCAGCCCCTGCTGCACAATAAAAAACATTGTTACCATTAAAAAAAAAAAAAAAAATGAGATCTCCTAATCCCACATGTTGGCTAACTGCAAAATAGTTAATGGTGAAAATCTAACAAGAAAAAAGTGTCACCTCATTATTGTTAAAATTTGCATTTATCACAAGTGTGGATTTGGATCTTTTTGTATATTTAAACCAGGGACAGTTTGATCCCCAGAGAACATTTGATAATATATGAAAAGATTTTTGATAGTCACAATTGAATGGGGATGCTAATGGCGTCTCAAGAGTAGAATACGGGGATGCTGGTAAACATCCTACAATGCACAAGCAGCCCCTACTACAAAGAGTTATGTAGTCCAAAAGGTCAATAGTGCAGAGGTTGAGAAACCCTGGTTTAAAGCCATCTATGTATCTTTATATTTGCCTGGCTTAACAAATGAGGTTTTTTTTTTTTTTTTTTTTTTTTCAGAGACGGTCTCCCTATGTTGCCCAGGCTGGAGTTCAGTGGCTATTCACAGGCACAATCCCACTACTAATCAGTACAGGAGTTTTGACCTGCTCCGTTTCCGACCTGGGTTGGTTCACCCCTCCTGGTGGTCCCCCGCTCCCGGGAGGTCACCATATTGATGCCGAACTTAGTGCGGACACCCAATCTGCATAGGGCACTGCAGCCCAGAACTCTTGGGCTTAAGCGATCCTCCCACCTCAGCCTTCTGAGTAGCTGGGACTACAGGCACGCGCCACGGCGCCGGGCAACAAATGAGGTTTTTGATTAGTCTCTGAGGGCTCTGTGTATTTTAAAAATTTGTCTTTAGGCCGGGCGTGGTGGCTTATGCCTGTATTCCCAGCACTTTGGGAGGCCGAGGCGGGCAGATCACGAGGTCAGGAGATTGAGACCATCCTGGCTAACACAGTAAAACCCCATCTCTACTAAAAATACAAAAATTAACCAAGCGTGGTGGTGCTCCCCTGTGATCCCAGCTACTTGGGAGGCCGAGGCAGGAGAATGGCTTGAACCTGGGAGGCAGAGGTTGCCGTGAGCCGAGATCGCGCCACTGCACTCCAGTCTGGTGACAGAGCTAGACTCGTCTCAATTAAAAAAAAAAAAATTTGTCTTTTATCACGTTACAAATAAGTTTTCGTGTTGCGTATGTACTTTGATTATACTATTTATTTAACATGAAGAAACGTTTGTGAAACCAATTATCAGTCTCTTAAGGCCTTTGCATTTTTGTGATAAGCCTTTGAGTTAAACCAAGATCTATCTTTCTTTCTTCCTTCCCTCCTTCCTTCCTTCCTTTCTTTCTTTCTTTTTCTTTTTCTTTAGTGCAGTGGTGTGATCTCGTCTCACTGCAACCTCCGCTTCCTGGGTTCAAGTGATTCTCCTGCCTCAGCCTCCCAAGTAGCTGGGATTACAGATGTGTGCCACCATGCATGGCTATGTTTTGTATTTTTTTTTATTTTTTATTTTTTGAGACGGAGTCTTGCTTTGTCTCCAGGCTGGAGTGCAGTGGCATGATCACTCTTCCTCCTCACCAAACTAGTTACTCCTCGTTTTAAAGCCGATTCCCATTTTTACCTCTGACCTCTTACTTCTGGAGTGTAATCCTCTCAGTCATGCAAGACCTTTATGTTCTTTTATTAACAGACCTGCTAATATATTGCCAATCTCAGATCATACCTTTTCCTTTGTCATTGTCACTTTTGCTCGTCACTCTCCATTATTTTCCTTAAGCAGACTTTTAAATTCACCCTTAGAAAGTAAACAAGAAAGTGCTTTCCCTTGGTGTTACCTCATCTACTTTACTATTTTATTCTTTTTTATGAGTTTACTAGGAAATTATTTTAGGTGTTTCCTTCTCACTTAGCAACTGAGTAAGGAGAAAGTTTAAGTGAACTTAATGAAATGATGGGAGGCTGAGGTGGGAGGATCACATAAGGCCAGGAGTTTGAGACTTGCCTGGGTAACATACCAAGCCCTACCTCTACAAACAATTAAAAAAAATAGCTGGGTATGGTGGTGTGTGCCTGTAGTCCCAGCTACTTCTGAGGCTGAGATGGGAAGATCACTTAAGCTCAGGAGTTCAAGGATGCAGTGAGCCATGATCATGCCACTGCATTCTAGCCTGGGTGACAGAGTGAGACCCTGTCTCAAAAATAAAATAAAATAAAATACAGAAGTTTCAGACCAGCCTTGGTAAGATGGTGATACCCCATCTCCATTTAAAAAAACAAAAATAAAAAAAAAACAAAGCACACAAATAATGAAAAGGGCTCAGGGAACCGTCAGCACATTTGAATCAGAATATTTCAGATCAAACTTCAACAATTTGCGATTCTTCTTGGTTTATTTAACAGCTCTTTTGAGATGCGATTCATGTACCATACTGTTCACCCATTTAAAATATGCAATTCATTGGCTTTTAGTATATTCACAGAGTTGTGCAACCATGACCACAGACAATTTAAAAAACTTTTCATCATCCCAGAAAGAAACGCTTCAACCCTCCATTGTGAGTCCCCAATCCCTCCCACTCCCAGCTTTAGGTAACCTCTGATCTTTGTGTCTCTATAGGTTTATCTATTCTGGACATTTCATATAAATGGCATGATATAATATGTGGTCCTTCATGACTGGCTTCTTCCACTTAGCAGAATGATTTTGGTTCATCCGTGTTGTAGCTCATAACAATACTTTATTGCTAAACATTATTTCATTATGCATGGCTACACCACATTCTGCTTATCCGTTCATCAGCTGATGGACATTTGGGTTGTTTCCACCCTGGCTTTTATGAGCATTCATTGAACAACTGTTTGTTTTTAGATAATTTCTTCAAAGTGGTATTTAGTCATTGTAAAAAAAATTGAAAAATATTAAAGAATATAAATAATATGATAAAATTTATTCATAATTCCAACACTCAAAAAAAAGCTTTATTAACACTTTTTCTGTGGGGGAAAAATGCATGTTTATGTAATTTGTTTTATAATTCTTCACTTCTCTTTAAGACCTACTTTGCATTTGAACAGATTTTGTTTGCCAAATCACAGCAAGACTGGCCAACTGCAGTTGTCATAAATAATTTATTTATTTATTGTGCCATGAGAGTGCAGTGGAGCTATCTGCCATTTGATGGGCATGGGGTGGGTTTAGAGAAAATTTCACAGAGGAGGAAACATATAATATGAAAATATGCATGAGCTTCTGATGCCTGTCAGTAAATAATTGGGCATTCCAATAAGGTGATATTTGTTCTGTTTTAGGAGGCTAGCAGGATGTACAGTTTTTATCACGGGTGCAAGCCGTGGCATTGGCAAAGCTATTGCGTTGAAAGCAGCAAAGGATGGAGCAAATATTGTTATTGCTGCAAAGACCACCCACCCACACCCAAAACTTCCAGGCACAATCTATACTGCTGCTGAAGAAAGTGAGTATGTCAGTGAGTGTGAAATGTCCTCCTAGTGGCTTCAATACATGGAGAATTTGCTGGAGAGTTTAGTTAAAGCTATTTGAAAGCTACCTTGAAAATAATTTTATCTAGTTAAAGAAGTATTTATGTTGTCACCTTGGGGCAGTGCTTCTGACCATTTTTCTCTTCCAGCACTTTTAAGCAATATGAGAGACTGCAGTTAAAAATATTATGGCCAGGCGAGGTGGCTCACACCTGTAATCTCAGCACTTTGGGAGGCTGAGATGAGTGGATCACCTGAGGTCAGGAGTTTGAGACCAGCCTGGCCAACATGGCAGAAACCCTGTCTCTACTGAAAATACAAAAATTAGCCAGGCATGGTGGTGCATGCCTGTAGTCCCAGCTACTCAGGAGGCTGAGGCAGGAGAATCACTTGAACCCAGGAGGTGGAGGTTGCAGTAAGCCGAAATCACACCACTGCACTCCAGCTTGGGTGACAGAGTGAGACTCAGTCTCTAAAAAAAAAAAAGAGGCCAGGCGCGGTGGCTCAAGCCTGTAATCCCAGCACTTTGGGAGGC